TAATAATAATAACAAGAACAATTCTATAGATATAATTCGTCCCCTTCAAATTATTTTTCATATTTTCATATTATCTTTCGATAGATAACGTGGTTTATCAGTGGGTCGGCCACTTTTACCTCGATTTATTATTCTACACTTAATACGCGTTTTCTTAATAATTAATTATGGAAATTCATTCTAAAGAAGCACGAATAATCTTAGCTATTAAGACTATTGAATCAAATCCAAAATTAACAATTCGGAAGACAGCTCAGCTTTATAGTGTGTCTCGATCTACATTGGGTGATAGAATTCGAAATAAACCTAATATAGCTGAAAATCGATCAAAAAGCTATAATTTGATTGAATTGGAAGAGGAGGTTCTTATTTAATATATATTCGATCTGGATAAAAGAGAATTTGCATCTAAATTAAGTAATATGAAAGATATAGCGAATTATATATTCGAATTGCGGGGTGTAAAGAAGGTTGAAAAGCTTTGGGCTTATTGCTTTGTAAAACGATGTTCAGAATTAAAGATGCGTTTTAATTATATTTATAACTTTCAAAAATCTCTCCGCAAAGATTCAAAGCTTATTGAAGGGTAATTCCGATTGGTATCGAATATACAAACAAAATATAGTATTCAGGACTGTAACTTCTACAACTTCGACGAAACTGGTTTTATAATAGGTGTAATATACCCCGGAATGATTGTAATTGGTGTTGAACGATGTGGCAGAAGCAAAGCAATATAGCCAGGCAATCGAGAGTGGGCTATAGCGATTATATGTGGTAATGGAGAGGATTGGACTATACCACTATTTTTAATGATGCAAGGACAATATCATCTTTCTAATTGGTATACAGAAAGCGATTTTCCTGCAGATTAGATTATTAAACCTATTTCTAATGGATAGACAAATAATGAGATAGATTTAGATTAGATAAAGCATTTCGATAAATATATTATTCATTGAAGAAAGGGCAAATATCAAATGCTAGTATTGGATGGGCATGAAAGTCATGAATCAATACCTTTTCAGTTATATTACAAATCAAATGATATTATATGTGTAAAGTTATTATTATATTCAAGTTATCTAACTTAATCACTTGATGTTGGATGTTTTAGTGTATTAAAACGAATATATGGCTCACAAATTGAAGGATTTATCAAGGCTTATATCAATCATATCTCTAAGATTGAATTCTTTATAGCTTTCAAAGCTGTATATCAATAATCGATTACAGTTCAGAATATGAAAGCTGGTTTTCAAGGAACAGGATTAATACTATTTGATCTTCAAGCTATACTTTCGAAATTGGATATTCGAATTTGTACACCTACCCCTTTACCCATTCCCTTGGAATCTGCTGATTCTTGGGTCTCTCAAATACCTTATAATCCAACTGAAGCTCTTTCATAATCGACTTTAGTAAGATCTCGAATTGCTCAATATCAATCAAGTTCTCCTATACCTATTTTCGAGACTGTAACTGCTTTGATTAAGAGTACAAAACAATTAGCTTATAAAGTTACACTTATAAATACAAAGAATTGTATATTTCAAAAGACAAATAAAGTATTAAGCAAATATCAATACATTAAAAAAGTTTAACTATAAAATGGAGTGTTTACTGGATAGGAAATTGAGGATATATTATTATAACAAAAGGTAAAGGTTCAGATTCGATATAACAAGTATCAAATAAAAGAAATTCTAATAGGGAATCTTTTATTAGTCAATGCTATAGCAAGTATGGAAAGACCGGTTATAATTCAAGAACTTGTCAGAATGATATAATAGATCCTAGTTTATTAGATTCTTAACAGTTTTAATCGATTCATTAAATTGTTCTTGAATAATATAGCTTTGAAGTAATAAATCGAGGTAATAGTGGCCGACCCACTGATATGGCCGACCCACTGATAAACCACGTTATAATAATGATATTATATCCATCCGATCTCTTTCCTCCCCTTCCCCTCCCTTCCCTTCCCCCCAACCTATCCATTTCCCCATTTCCCCCCATCTATCTCCTTGTCACCCACTCAACCCCATCCCAAATTCATATTCCATATAACCCTCCTTATAATATCTCAGATTCAACTACCAGAAAAATATAAAGAATCCACGTCCCTTCTGCTAGTCTATTGCCCATCCTCCCCCAGGCCACTCCAGAAAGAAAACCATATAGCATATCCATATCTAAACAATACAGGTATATCAGAACAACCCACCACAATCCTCATATCTATATTCATATTCATCCCCCTTCCCTTCTTCGTCCATCCCTTCTCCTCCCCTCCTCTCTCCCCTCCATTCTCCTCACCCCTCACACACTTCCACTTACACTTCCACTTCCACCAAAACCAGTCTTCCAACTTCCAACTCCCGCTCAATTTTCCTACCCGAGTATTATATAAAAGAATCACTCAAAAACATCACTGAAAACATCACTTTCTATTTCCATACTCCTCCTTCCTGTATCCAAATAAGGAACTACTGTAGAAATGGAAAGTCTTTTTTCAATACTTATACTTTACTTATACATGAAGTACAAATACTCAAATAAGTAATAGCAGATGTATAATCTCTTATAACCCTCCCATTTCTCGCCCCTTCTCCTCCCCTCCCCCTTTTCCCTTTCTTCCTCCTCCCTTCCTCCCCTCCCCTCCCCCTTTCATTCTCGATTCGTTCATTCTTCACCGGTATTACAATGCATTACATTCACAATCACTTACCCACTCACCCACTCACTCACTCACTCAAATCAAACCTACACATACACCAAATCCCCCGTCTCCCCTCCCCAATTTTATAAAATAAAAATCATCGATTTAGTTATCTATCCATCTCATCCATCTCATCCTCCTCATGCACCTCCCTCATCTCACTCATCTCACCATCTCCTACATTTCCCCTATCTCCCTCATCCAACAACCCAACAACCCAACAACCACCAAAGAAACCTTTAATACCCTACCAAGTAATGTACAAAGTTTGGTTTTTCCTATGCCATACCATACCATACCATACCATGTCCTATCCCTCAACTCAATGCACCCCATCTATTTCTATCCCTATCCCACGACCGAATGAAATACAAAACAAAAACAAGAACAAGAACAAAACAGAACCAAACAAAGAGAATTCCTGAGTGGCTCCGCCATTAAAGATACTCGAGCAATCTATGGGATCTTCTTACCCAGAAATCTCGTTGTTGGAAAAGAAAGCAAACCAAAGGGAAATCTACCTCCCACTTTTCTTTTGAAACTGATGAATCAACCTGATTCCCCTGTTTTCCCACCAAAAATTAATCAATTAACATGCCTCATAACGCCATTTGCAAATCTTCAAACCCACCATTAAAGGTCTAATTGACTGCGTATGTATGTGTTGCTCCCGAACAAAATGCGAAAGCCAATGCCCAGGAGAAACAAGCCAATAATACATGAGTGGTGTGCCTGCGTAAAGACGAGACAAAAAACAAAAGAAAATGAAGATAAAAACTAATGAGTATGGCCATCATGATCCGAATGGTCATGTTGGGGCTCTACTACTTGCGTTGAACAACATCCTCTTCCCTTGCAATTATCAACACATTCCAATAAACAGGAATCATCATCTTCCATTCCACATTTAGTTTGAACCTGGCCATCTAGTCCAAATCTTGAGCCGTTGGGATCATGAGCGTGATCTTTTTCGAGGCAAAATTCAAGTTGAATGGTTGCGCTATGAATGCCATGACCGTGTAAGCATTGCCGGATTTCCTTATTAAGTTGCATGTATTTCTCTCCGCTATCTTCGCCGATGGGGAAAGCAACTTGGATATGCATTGATGCAACTAGTTGGGAGTCGCTGAGTTGCCAAATGTGGACATGATGACAACCCTTAACGGCTTCATTACTTTCGATATCTTCTTTTAAAGAAGCGATGTCGATTGAATCGGGTGTAGCTTGAAGTAAAATTTGTGCGGTAGCTTTAGTCAATGGAATGCAAGAACGAAGAATGATCATGGTGATGAAAAGCGATACAGCAGGATCGGCATAGAAACGACCAGGCCATTCAGTCAACCAAATAATCAACGCAGTGGCGATCACTCCAACATTCCCAAGGGCATCACCAATAACGTGAAGAACCATAGCGTTCATTCCCATATCGTCATGACTGTGACCGTGACCACCAGACTTTTTCTTGGATTTATTGTTGTGATTATGTGCCAAATGCTTAGATTGACGGCTTGTGCGACGTTCATGATGATGACCTTCATCTCCATGACCATGGCTGTGAGAATGAGCGTCCGTGTGACCATTGTCAGTATGCTGAAGAAGGGTGCTGTGTTCAGTTGGCGCGGGTCCAGATTCAGCATGAGCATCATCATCTGGTTCGCTAGAATCTTCGCTATCAATCGCATCCAATTGTGACTTGCTTGCAGCAATGATGTCTTGTCGAAAGCTTGCTGGATGAATGCTAATGTTATCCAAACTAGAGAATTGAGATTTGCTTGTTCGTCTCCGATGAGCGTGTTTTTTGGAACTCCTGCTGGGTGATCTAGTGATAACACTGCTATTATCGCGGGCTGTTTGAGCATCTTCATCGGGTTTGGTAAACTGTACTTGACGTTTGGCGGTAGCTTTTGCTACTACAGCTTCGGGGAAAACTTCGCCTGCATTTCCATTTTCGGTGTTGACTTCATCTCGGTATGGTTCGTATGGTTCGTGGCCGTGTTCATGAGTATGGCTATGCGCATGTCCTTCTTCCGCAGCGTTGACTTCATCTCCATGAGAATGACCATCTCCCGGACCATGAGAATGACCATGTCCGCCCAATACGAAAAATCCAGCAAGATTCGATGCCAACCCCAATGATCCAACAATAAGTATAAGCTTTGGTTCGGTAATCTCAGGTGGATCGAAGAGACGTCCGACAGCGTCGAGAACAATTGTGACGCAAAGCGCAATGAGGAAGACGGCGTTGAAGAAGGCTCCAAGGATTTCGGCTCTCAAAAACTATAAAATGTTAGTTGCCGTCTTAGGTGAAGTAGCTTTCCGTTCAGGAAGTTCTCGACTGGTTTGATGGCTTACTCCAAAAGAATATTTATCAGTTGTATTCTTTTGCGCAGCTTTCACAGCCCAAAGTCCAACAGCGAGAGAGATGATATCGTTCAACTGCGTACATGTTAGCATATATACAACTTCGTACCTTTCTGAATTGCCTTACCATATGAAAAGCATCTGCCGTGAGTGCCAATGATCCCACCCACGTTCCAACACCTAATTCCACGATGAAAAATACCGCATCGATCAATAGCATGATCAGAATGCGTGTTGACTTTGACCAAGCCATTTTTGAAGATTTAAAGAGGATATACTCTTTGTTTATCAGTCTTGTAGCAAAGGATTAGTGAATTATTGAAGTAGAAGTAGAAGTAGAAGTAGAAGTAGAAGTAGCGGTAGAGGTAAAGGTAGGACTCCTGATGAATGGTGTGGTACGAGATGAAGAAGACGACGCCCCCCTCTTCAATATTTGTGATGTTGTGTCTCGCGACTTTGCGAAATCGGATCTTTACCAATCCGTTAGCTATCAAGGGTCTTTAATCCTTAGATGTTTACCCAATATTACCGATCAATAGATAATTATTCTGTGATGAATAAAGGAAAGCAGAAGGAAGAAAATAGAATAATAGAAGAGGTGAATCATGAATCAAGAGTCAAAAATCAAAAATCAAAACATAATCAATAGTCATAGTGTATTTAGTATCCGAGATACCGATACCAAGATGAACCCTGCCAGCATTAGAACTATGATCATGTGATCTTCCGAAATAATACTACTCTGTAGTAATCCAAATAAGCTTAATTCTAATAGAAATCAAGATTTCGATTAATTATTCTAAGTAATTTAGTTTTATATATATTTTTATTAAGATATTAATACTAATTTTTAGTTCTTTTCGCTATATATTCGCTTTAATAATATCTTTTAAATTTAATTAAATATTCTTTTAAAATTAAAGAGTTTTTATTATAGTTTAATTATCGATATTTAGAATAAAATAATCGTTTAGTTATAAATAATAAAAATTAGTTAAAATACTCCTTTTTTAAAACCTAGATATTTAATAATATATTTCAAAATCTTTATTTTCTATACTTTTATTTAAATCTCTATAATTATATAGTCAATTATTATTATATAAAGTTATATTTAATATAATTTAAATTATTATATATAATAATATTTTAAATCTAATC